TAAAATAATTGACATTATGAGAATATAAAAATTCGTATCAGCAACACGAATCGATATTAGAACGTTATATCAGCTTAGAAAATTATACATCTTTAAATTATTAGTTTTTGATCACATGTTTTCAATATCTTTTTGTTTCTGTCGTTGTCAATCGGTTCTAGCAATTTCTGAAAAATCTGTCATTTTTTTGGATTTTAAAATATTGAAGAAAAAAAAGTTACTTAAAGCAAGACAAAAATTTACGAGTGGATTTATTTTGACCGCGAACAAAAAAGATTATAAAAACCAAACACACAATGTCGCGGAAAAGATTTTATAAATTAATACAAAAAAAAGTCGTAAAGATATATTTTAAATGTTAATTAATGTACAATTTTAACAAAGATTCACTTTGTGGATATTATATATGCAGAAATAAATTGTATAAATTATTTTTAAAACACTGCATGTCCTTGTTTCAAATACTAAGTAATTTTTTTTTCTTAATAATTATTCTAAAAAGATACGAAGAATTAAATAGTATCTTTTTATGTTAAAAATACATACTTTTTTAATTCAGTATTTGCTGGTTCTAGACACTTGCACTTTAATTATCTTATTTTCTTTAAACTGTCTATCGTATAGAACTTACGAAATTTTATAATGGATACGACGTGTATTTCTACGTGCGTTTCCTCGCACGAACTAAACAAGAACTGAGGTGTCCGAGTGAACTTGCTTATATTTATGTGATTGTAGTTATACTTGTGACGATCGATTAACTTGTTGAAGGCCTGTTCTTCCTCGTCTTCACCTCGTTGTGCAACACACCATATAAGCATGTATAAACGAAATTGAATGAGAATTTATTATGCTAATATATTCTGGTGAACGGTAAAACGAAAAATGAATAATTGTATGAAGTCCTAAGTTTCTTTTGGAAATGAATATATGTAATGTACGTAAAACTATTTTTCAACGTAAAACCATCAATTTTTTTATAACATCAAAAATATTATTCAAGCCCAAAGTTGTTTATTAAAAGAGTAAAGCAAGCAATAAGAATTAAAGAACGCAGATGTTGAAACGCAAAATACAATGTATTGTCAATAAAAATCGAATCGAAACGATTTCGTTTATTTTGTATCAATTTTTATATTTTTATTGACAATAAATTGTTTTTTTGCGCATATACATTTACGTTTTTTTTGTTCTTATTGCCTTTTGCTTTCTTAATATTTTTATTGTTACAGAATTATTTGCGCTATTTCGAAGTTCTTTATTAATCGAATTTAAATTTTTAGTCAAAATACTTAATGCTTAAAAAATATCATTAGATATAGAATAAAAATTAAAAAATTTTGACTTTTTGTATATACATTTTAAAAGTTTAAAATTAAATATGGAAAATACAATATACGAGTATAATATCGATTCACAAGTTGAACAATGTTTAACAATTTTTAATTTTAATTGTTTATTATTTTGTGATTATAATATTATTATATTAGAATTTTCGATTCTAAATAAATTTTAAAATATGCTTTTAAAATAATTAATTTAATATTTTAAGTAGCAATATACAATCACAATAAGAATGCGTTTATTTGATATAATGTTATAACAATGTAAAAATTTTGAACATTTTAAAAGTTTTACAAGATAAAAATTAATGTTTACTAAACTAAACTAAATCTTGTGTAATAAATGGAAAATTTTGTCTAAAAATAATATATTTGTATCAATAATACAATTTTTTTTAATATTAGACAGCTCAATAGTATATTTTAATTCTATAACAAATTTTTTTGTTACAATTTTGTTAAAATTATAAATAAATTTGTATGTTGCGTTATTCAAGAAGCAAATAAATTTTTGACCCAGAAAAACAAATTTTTACGTAAAAAAAAGTACAGTTTTTATCTGTCTAAAATCAGTCCTCGTTCATTAAAATTCATAAAATGCAAGAATAACTTGTGCTATTTCTTTAGACAAATAAAATAAGAAAATGTAAGAACGTATTATGTAATTTTATATAATTATATGTAAAATTATGTAATTTTTTATATAAAAGATGGTGCAATATATTTGTGGGTTTACGTAACGTAAGTTACGTAACGTAGCATTACTTACATTAATGTTAAGATTGTTTCACATATTATGAACGAAAGAAGAGGGCATCACAGAGAGAAATAAAAATGTAATGTCAAAAAAATTATAATTTATAAGACATTCAAAGTACTTTTATTATTTTCAGAATATAAAGTCTATGTATAAAGTCTATATAAAGTCTATGTATTCCCTATTCAAGAATTTATGTCTATATTATTATAAGTATATGCATTCGTGAGTATCAGGAGACGCGGTAGTGTCTCCGGCCAAGTTCAAATTATAAGTATATGCATTACTGAGAATCCGAGAAAGCTTCGTTTGCATACAAATTTATTGCCTACACGTCGTAGGTTTCGTTACTTTCGTTACTGACTATGTTATAAAATTACATAAGCATCAAGAAACGCATATATTTTTTTATATTTCTAATGTAATAGCAAAATTATATAGCAAGATCTAACTTTTGTATTTTTTAATCATCTGGTTCGGCACTCATACCAACGAAATCTTTTAAGCGTTGTTGTACCTTGTTGGGAAGATATCTACAATATAAATAATATTTTTATTATGTATGGAAAATATGGATATAAAAATAATAATTTCACAATATGTATTACTTGCATGGTATCTGCATTTGCATTAATAAATAAAAATCCAAACGCAACGAAACTCTTTACGCTTTATTATGTTTTGCAATATTTTATTTGCAAATATTATGATTATTATTAATATATACTGATTGAATTGTTATTTATGCTGTTTACATACCCCATTAGCGTCAATAATAGTAGGAAATGAGAAGGTAGACTCTTTTCCCTGCAATTTTGTCTTTGCGCATCGATTATTAATGAAGCAGCTTGTTTTGGTGATAGTGAAGGTATTAAACTCGGAAATCTATATTGACAAAAATATAATTAAATTAAAAAAAAAATTTATAATATTGTTCTGGTTACCGTAAAATATTTATTATAATGACATATTGTTAAAACTTTACCTCATTATTGGCTTGAACGGCAATGCATTAAACACTAGAGCTGGGAAAATGGTAGTGAATTTAATCAAAGATTTTCCTTTACTAGACAAACGCAACTCTTCACTGAGGCTGTTCATAAGTACTGAAATATACATATCACAGGTTAGGACATTATCGGTATTATCAGCGTTTTATAGCTTATACTGCGCATATATACTTATATATATATATATAGAATCAAATACATATAAGAGAAAGGCTCGTATGATACTCCATCGAATTAATATATAAATAGCATATACTGAATATTTAATAATATGATATAATCATATAGCCGTATTGTAAGTTATTTCAAATATTTATTAAATTATTATATGAAAGATTATAATCTTTTAATATGAGTTGAATTACTTCTGACTGCGGATTTTGTAGGAGAGTAAACTGTCGTATACATTGATGTTACAAGTGCTAATAGTGATGAGACTGCGACGATGTGACCATGGTTCTTTTCAATCATACTTGGTAAGAATGCACGCAATGTCTGAAAGATTTTATGTCTAATTATGTCTAATTTTCCAGTATAGCAATAGCTTATTATACTTTTGCTTCTGTTAAGCTTTTAATATGTACATACTTCAACTAAGAGTTAATTTAGCTATTTGTTTCCAAACATATAATAATATAAAGCGCACATTAACAATTATTTTATATATTGTATAACTTTAAAAAAGATATCGCGAGATATGTAACTTACCCAATAATGCGCGATAAAATTTACATTTATGATTCTCGTAATTTCATCATTGCTATGGTTTAAACATGTTTTTACCGTTGCTACGCCTGCATTATTGATTAGAATAGTGATGTCGCCCACTTCTTTTTTCACTTTTTCGGCTACCCTAGAGACTTCTTCTCTGTCTGTTATATCGCATCTGTAAAATGCGATCACATTTTAATTAGTATGGGATATTTAGCTTACTGTGAGAACAAATTATCTGAAATTTTTTATATTATCAGAATTTGTAAGAAACAGAAATTATTAGTTAACCGATATGCATATACGGAGTCTTTTCCCATTTCTTTGATCTCGTTTTTTGTCTGTTCATTGGTTTCTTCATTAATGTCCCAACATATTACCGTGGCTCCCAACAAGGCATAACCGATTGCTAGTTCTTTTCCTATGCCGTGACCCGCGCCTGTTACCTATGGCAGTAGCTATTGATAGTCACTTTTCTTTACAGCTATAGATTATAAATATATTGTGAGGTTTGCACACATACTTACCAAAACAATTTCATCAGCCACACTTTTTCTCTTCACAGGAGCAAATAATTTATATACACCCTTGCAAATGTAATAGGGAATTTTGAAAAAAAGCGCGAATATTTCTGCTAAAAGAAGCATGCTATCATATAGCACCATATTTATCTGAAGAAAATAATTTTTTTAATAAGAATTATTTTTAATGACTAGTATTTTTAATATATCTATAGACCGATAAGAAAAACTCCTTTATTTACTTAATTATGATTCACACTTTTCTATTATGATATATCAATTCTTGTTTCGATCTGCTCTGACAAGAACAAAAGTTCGACGATTCACTGTTTCAAATTACAAGTTGTGAACGTAATAGAAATTCCTATTTTGCGTTATACGTGTTGATGATATTTGATGTTTTGTTATTTTTCACTAAATATGATATTATAATGATTTTTAATATCTTTTATTGAATGTTATACGACACGCCGTTTTATAGCGTCCAACACTCGCTTCGTTTGAGACTACGTACTTCTATCAAGATATTCGCATTTTCACTTTCCTTATATTCGTCCTAAATAAAAAATTACGTTGTTGAAGGATAACCAGATACTATCAGAGCCACTTTTTCCAACGTCGGTTAACTTTAACTGACTGGTAACTTTTCAAAATAGCCAACTTAAAACTCGAAACTTATATATACATATACATATACAAGTTTCGAGTTTTTAGTTGGTTATTCTGAAAAGTTACCAGTCGGTTAAAGTTAACCGACGTTGGAGAAAGTGGCCCTCATGGCTCAAACAGACCAGAGCGGCGAAGCGGCGAGCGGCGAGCGACGTGCAACGCACGAATAAAAATTCATTTCCTGCTTTTTTAAATGTGCGCAATAATGCTTGTAGGCAATCGCTCTGTAGGCAATCAGGAATGTCGGCAATTGAAGCTGTCGGTAAAATGTTGTGGGCAAACGAAGCTGTTGGCAAATGGGAATGTAGGCAGTTGAGATCCTCCCCTGTTGTTAATATACACTAGGTAATGCATTTCGTCTAAGTCGAGTTATCAAACATGTTCTGTCAAAGAATTTCTCTTCAAAGTGGACAGAGCAAATACGAGCTGTACTTGGGATAGATGATGAACTTATTTCCAAAATATTTAACCACAATGTACGAGTTTTAGGATCTTTGGGAAAACTAAGAAAAAAAACAATATTTTTAACAACTTATACTCTTAAAATAAAATATATAATATTACTTTAAACATATAATATTAACTTTAATATGAATAAATAATTTCAATACCTGTGAAATGTTATTTTTACATTATTTCCGCTATTACTTTGTTTCCAATTTTGATAGTCGGATCTATTTTTTACAAGACTGTACAAAACACTGCACCATTTTTTATATTCACAAAATATATTTAAAATACAATTTATAATGTTTTCTTGATATAACTTAAAATGCTCATTATATCTGCCCAAATTGCATAATATTTTTGCGTC